AGTCTTTACGGACATGGAATTTCTTATGCTGTTTCTGTGGAACATATATTCGTGTTAGGAATTAAGCTCCCTGTAAAATGCAGAGAAAGAAATGTCTGGTGCATGGATGGGTTAGAAACTTTTCTTAAAAGACACCTTTTCCTTTTCTTGGTATATATTGCTGAAGTACACAAGATATGTTTTTCTTTTAAAATTAGATTCCAGTTGGTTATGAAACTGTTTCTCTAAGGATCATCTCTTTCATATCAGTTTCTGTCCAAAGGGTTTAATTTCTTGGGTTTCTAGAAGGCTCTTTTGTTCAACACATATACTACTTCTCTTCTCTGCTCATTATTGTATATCTTTAATATACCTTTTCTGTTCAAATATGTCTCCTTCTGTTGGTGGCAGTTTCAGACCCTTGCTATTATGCTAGCCAGTGGGGGAGATTACAAAGGTGAGCATCAACCATGACATCAGGAGTTTAGTCTAGAACTGTGCCGTGCACTACAGTAGCCACTAGCCACCTGTAGCTGCTGAATACTTGAAGTGTGGCTAGTGTTAATAAGAAACTGAATTTTAAATTTTATTTACTTTTAATTAATTAAAATGTAAAATACTTTAGTTTTTAAAACATTGATTACATATGGAAATGATAAAAAAATACAGAATCTTAAGATTTTTTTCACCTGTTTAGATGGGCAGATTTATCGAATAAAAGAACAACATGCTCAGTTCAATCTGAATTTCAGATAAACAAGGAATGATTTTTCAGTATAAGCATATTCCTGTTTATTTTTTTTAATCTAGCAAGTCTACTGATTTTCTTTACTTCTTTTAATATGACTACTAGACAATTTAAAATTGCATATATGGCTCCCATGATATTTCTGTTGGATAGTGTTGCTCCAGAATTAAATATTGTTATTTTGACTTCTCTAGAAGGCAAGTTTCATGAAGGCAAGGAATTTGTTTTCACTGTGTTTTCCGACATAAATGGAGTTGGTTTCTCAAACATGAGATTTATAAAATGATTTTTCCTGGGAACCAAACTGATGGGTCTTTCAGGCACTGGGGTACTCTCCGTGACTGCCTGCCTTCTCCCAATCCATCGTTCCTTTCCTTTGTCACTTCCCTTCTCAACCACGAATCCATGCGTTTTGATTTCAGTAACACAATGGCCAGTACGACTAAATGCATTCACCTTTGGCTTTTCATTGCACCCATCAGGCATAAAGTCAGCTCCAGATTAACCCAAAGAGCTGCCCTTCCTGCGCTTGCAGCTAACAGCCCACTCTGGCTGTAGAAGGTCACACAGCAGGGCTCGTTGGATCTGCTATAAATGTATAGTCAACAGCTACAAATGGGCATTTAAACTTGCTGCACGTTTTTGATCAATTCCCATCCCCATTTTCTGAAAAGACTTTCAAGTTCTCTCTTCTCCATAATCCTCCAACTTCTCTATCCTTTCCATTGCTCTCAGAAGATATTTTCACAGAGAAAATGGAAACTGTTAGATAAAATTGTGATCTCTCATCTTCCCATTTCCAAACATATCTCTGCCTGCATCTGTGTCCAATCTATTCTCTTTTCCTCTGTTTAAGAGAGGAGCTGTGTGCATCCTCTCCAAAGCCAATCTGTTTGTTCACTTGCCCTTTAGATTTGTACACTGTCTCCACCTCTGTCTCCCTACCTGTGCCCACTACCACTCAGTAGGGAGCGTGTCTTGGCCCCTTCACTGAACTATGATAGCTCTTATTAAGATCAGCAATGGCCCCCAGGTCTCTAAATCCAATGGACATTTTTCAGGCTGCTTCTTACTTGGCCTCTCTGTAGCGTTTGTCACTATTGATCATTTCTTGCGTTCCTTGACTCTCTGGACATAATCCTTTTTTGCTTTCTTCCTACCTCTTTGTGGACTTGTTAAGAAGGCTTATCCTTCTCTTTCCTGACTTTAAATATCAGAATTCTTCAGTACTTGAGGCTCTTTCCTCTCTCTGCATGTTGCTCTGTCCCAAGACTCTCCTATTATGCTTTGGCTTCTATTACCACCTGTATGCAGATGACTTACAAATATGCAGCTGCGCCCGTGCCAGACCCATATTTCCCTCTGACATCTCAGGACTGATGTCTAAAGAACACCTCAAGCTCAATATGCCAAAATTGAATTCATTATTTCTCTCTCTCCCCAAACTTGGTTCTTTTCAACTATTATCTGTTTCAGTGACCCCTGCCCTCTCACCTTCACAAAGTTCAAACTTGCTTTGCAGTGTGACATCTCTCTCAGCCTCCCCTGATGTTTTCCTCCATAAATCTATTGCACTTTTAATTCCATCTTATTGTCTGTTTTTTCACTAATAAGGTAAACAGAAACCTTTATTGGAAGATGAAGTAACAGAGAATAGAGCTAAGACTGTAATTGATCTCAAGGAACTCAGTCCCTTTATTTCATAGGCAAGAATAATGAAGCTTAGAAATCCTTAACTGGGATGGAACTGAACAAGACCTGTCATCTTCAGTGTCCATAAGCATAACCTCTGTTACACTGTCTCACCTGTTTCACTGCTGACAAATGTAACATTTTCTCAGAGGTAGACACTGGTTCTAGGATGAATAAGCTTTTATGCATTTCAAGGGTTATTTTTAATGTGAACTTTATATATATAACATACACACAGAAAACCACATAAGTCCTGTGTCCTGTGCAATGAATTCTCACAAAGTAAACACACCTACAGAACAATGGCCCGCAACACAATATACAACATTGACTGTGCTGCAGAAGACCCTGCGGGCTTCCCTCCAAGTCAGGAGCCCTCCTTCCTTTTCAAAGGAAGCCACATCCTAACTTCTAACATCACAGACTAATTTTTAATTTACCTTAATGATGTAGCCCAAATTCATTTTTTGGATTATTTATTTATTTTTGTACTGAAATACAGTCAGTTTACAATGCTGTGTCAATTTTTGGTGTACAGCATAATGTTTCAGTTGTACATATACATATGTATATTCCTTTCCATATTCTTTTTCATTACAGGGTATTACAAGATATTGAATATATTCCCCTGTGCTACGCAGTAGAACCTTGTTGTTTATTTATTTTATATACAGTAGTTAGTCTCTGCAAATCTCAAACTCCCAGTTTATCCCTTCCCACCCCCTTCCCATCTGGTAACCATAAGTTCGTTTTCTATGTCTGTAATTTCTGTTTTGCAAATAAGTTCATCAAATCAATTTTTTTCATAGATTCACAGTGCCTTGAACAAGTAGCTGTATGTATATATGGCAATTTGTGTAAAACACCCAGAAACCACTTGGTCAAGATCCTTTCCCTGTCCTGAACTGGTAATAGTTTGTAAGCAACGACATTTTTACCAGAAATTGGGCATTGTCTTTCTGCTTTGTCACCTTGGAGAAGTTATTTAGCACCTCCAAGATTCATCTTCCTCATCTGTAAAATGAGGATAATAATATTACATACTACAATTATGATAATCATGGAATAAATAAGTTAATGTATATAAGAGTCCAATTATGGTGCTTAGAACACAGTATAACTTCAATGAATGCTAGTTTTGTGGGAGTTATTATTAGTAATAATAATATACGAAAGTTCATATCAGAACTTTTTAGAAGCAATGTGCTAAATTAGTGACTTCTTGTCCAGCCTTGGGCAAGTGACTTAGTTTTTGAGTGAGTTTCTCGTCTTTTCTAAGGAGACAAAAGGTGAAGAAACACCTGGTGAGTTGTTTTTGTAAGCACTGGGCTCTGCAGTTGAGAAGACGAAAGATGCCTTTTAAACATACAAGTTATCCTTTTGTTTCAAAACACAGCAGTGCAAAGGCAAGTCATGATCCTCTTGAGAGAAAGATGATCTTCAAGAGTCAGAGGCATAGTGACTTTTGAAATCTCTCAAAGAATATTTAGATTACATTCTAAAACAAAATCCTCTATCTCAATTCTAGAAAAAAACTAATATATCAAAAAAAATACAAAATTAGTTTCTCCTGAAGTAATGAACTTAATAACCGCAAGGGCAAAAATATATGTACGTTGTTATAAACGGTAGGGGTTGGGAGACAAATGCAATGGAGGAGTCAAGAATCCTGAGATCCAGTCTCTTCTGCTATCCAGTTGTATGACTTTGGGCAGATCATCTTACTTTTTTAAGGGTCAGTTTTTTTGCTTGTAAAATGAAGTTGTTAGTTCAAAAATTGTGTAAGTCTATTGGGCACATCACTTTTTTTTTAACATCATTCAATGAAAAATTTGAAACATGTATGTTAATTGTTGATAGAACAGAGATTTTTGGAGCATAGAGAATCATAGGCGAAACAAAGTCTAAAGACTGAGTTCAATTCTGTGTGCGTGTGTGCGTGTGTGTGTGTGTGTGTGTGTGTGTGTGTGTGTTGGAGTAGTTCAGGCACTGAGAGAAGGGAGTTTATAGAAAGAGAAAGAGGATACTGTGGGTGACAAGAGAATGAACATTTATAGTATTGAGTCCTAGATTTCTTGTTTCTGAATATAGCTCAAACATGAGTGTTCTCAGTTTGGAATTCAGATGGGTGGTGTGACACAGTGGAAATAGTACTGAAATAACCATCAGGAATCTGGGTTCTAATAGCTATTCTGTCTGATTAGTAGTTTGATATTTTGACATGTCATTTCACCTCCTGGGTATTCTAAGATGTAAAAGGAGGTAGTTGGACATGTCTACTTAGGTCCCTTCCAGTTCTTAAAGTCTTTGATTTTTTAAGAGGAGAATGAACCAATTTTACTGTGTGGTGTGGATACTGGGTGGAGTAGCTTTATGGCATTTTGGGATCAATCTGAGGCTTATAATTAGAGAAGAGTCCAGGCAAAACTTTGTGCCTTATTTTTTCAGGACATTAGAGAGATTTATAACTCCAATTTTGTTGCAGTCAGCTTTATTCACAATAATGTTGTATACCAAACAGTGTAAAATTCACCAGCTTCTAGCAAAAAAATTCATTTATTTCTCACTCATGTCTCTGCAGGTCAGCTGAAGTGTGGCTGATGTCAGCTCAAGTTCCAGTTTAGTTTTAGTGTCTATATGGGACCGGTGGACTATCTCAGGGCTGTGAAGACCTGCAAGAGGGCGAGTCCAGTTGTTCAGGTAAATTTCAGTTTATTTTTTCTGTCATAGAATTGTATTATTAATTTTTAAAAATTGAGGTATCATTGTTTATAACATTATATAACTTCCATGTGTACAGTATTTCATTTCAGCTTCTGTGTACACTACAGCGCGTTTACCACTGAAAGTTTAGTTTTCATCCATCACCGTACAGTTGACTCCCTTTACCCATTTTGCCCTCCTTGCCATTTCCCTTCCCCTCTGGTAACCACTAATCTGTTCTCTGTATCTATATGTTTGTTTTTGTTTTGTTTGTTCATTTTTGTTTATTTGTTTTCCAAAGTTCAGTTTTTACGCTGAGGTTGTCTCTGTTAATGTCCCATTGGGAAAAGCAAATCATATGACCAAGTCCCAAGTTAAGAGGCTTACAAGTACACTCTGCTTACCATAAGACCACACTCCTCTTACCATAAAACCATGGCAAAGCTACAGGTGTACAGCACTACTATAGAAGAGTAAAGGATTTTGGACCAATAATTCAATTTATGACAACTTGATCTATATGTGTGAATATGTGGATGTGTAATGGAACAAGGAAAACAAAACAGAACTCTGAGTGGCTTAGGTAAGAGAACAGCATAGGTTTGAAGAGAAGGATCTAGGTTCTGTAACTAAATGCCCATCATTGACTAACTTTTATAAACCCAATTTCTGTACCCACTGGCAAAGTAGTTTCTTGTACTCTATATTGCTGATTCAATGATGTACTAATGAATTTCTACTGAGCAACTGTTCTTATCATGCTCAATAATAGCCTTCACATTGCTAATCCTCACAATCAGTTCTCAATTCTCACCATGTTTGACTTATCAGTGACATTTGACACAGTTGAGTCCTCTGTCCTCCTGTATATTTTTTTCACTTGGTTTCACTTCTGCTCATTGGCCAGAGCTAGTCACATGGCTCCCTCCAACTTCAGCTTCAAGGAAAGCTAGAAAAGTGAGGAACCCATGGATATTAAGGGAGCTCTGACTGCTTCTGCCACATGTTCTGAAGGATTCTCTGAGCCTCCTTTATTTCCCTCCCATAACATTGAGGGGTGTGCCACGTGTCCCCTCACACACTGCTGACACTCTCTGAGGGTAAGCATTCACTAGAAGAATTCATGAATAAAATGGCCCCCAAGGGGACACAGAAGGAAAGAAAAAAAGAAGTAGTGGACAAACATCTGGGCCTGTCTAAGTAAGAGGCACTGTGGTGTGGGCACCACTTACTAGCTGGTGATGTGAACAAGTTATTTAACCTCTCCGTGCTTCAGTTATCTTATCTGTAAAGATGGGAGTGATAATAATAGCACCTACCTCATCGGATCTTTTGAGGACAAAATTAATATGCATGAGGCACTTAGAAAAGTGCCTGGCACATAGAAAGTGTAATAAGTGTTAGCTATAACTATTTCATGAATTGAACAATTCAATTCTAAATAATAGAGAACTGAAAATAAAAGTGATAACAAATTTATAAAATTTTAAATCGTCCCCCATATAAAAACCCTAGTCTAATGAGGAAGATTCTCATTTTAATATATTTTATTACCAGGATTATGGAAACACATAAAAAATAAAAACAGAATGTGTTATTTCTCTGCACATGTGGCACTTTGGCTAGAGGTAAACTTTTTTTTTTCTTTTCTTTTTTTTTTTGAAAAGCTGAATGAGAGCAGTTTGGAAATGGAACAGAGCCAGGGAGTAGGGGGCACTTAAGATGTGTTTTGTAATTGCACACCATATTGCTTTATCAGAACTCTTCTCATTTAGTGTTAAGGGGCCATGATGAGTGTCCTGAGGTCTAAGGGTCTGGTTAGAAGCCTGCGGAGAACTCAGGCACGCCCCTGCTGATGTGGCTCAGTGATGATGGCTTTTCGTCTAAATTGCCAGCAGGAAGGTATTCTTACTGCCTTCTTTCCCTCTGCATTTCCAACAAGGAAGAACAGCTGAGGCAAATGAGACAGACTCTTTTTCCAATTACATAGTATACATATTTCATTTCAGCTGCCGCCTATGAGAAATATGATACGGAGTGAGTTAGTGGCGCTGAGGCAGAACTAGCCCATAAAAGATTTGGGGGGGTACATTGTTAAATTTTCAGAAGATTATTTGGGTGAAATGGTATGGTAGGTTAATTATCAGACTGAAAGGTTTAAGGCTTTTAGTCGCTATAGAGGAGAAATTGCAGCCCTGAATACAGTCCCAAATTACTTTTAAAGCATAAAATGGTAAAAAGAAAAAAAAATTGTGACAAGTCAATCTGGCTTTTTAGACTGTAATTGTTTTGAAGGGGAAAGGGTAGAGCTTTTAGAGGAGAGGTGATTTACTTGGTGGCACTTAGCTGCTAACTTTTACTTTGACGAAAAGTCTATGTGAATTGACTTTCTTTACTTCACATCATCATATAACTCTTAACTCTTCATAAATGTTTCTGAGGGAAAAGGCCAAGTTGGAATTTTCCCTGTGCTGAACTAAGTAAAACATCAGCCAAAATTCCAGCCAACATTTTTTGCAAAGGCATAACTTCTGAATAAGAATCTAAACAAAGTGAGTTATGTTTTCTGTTAATTTCTCTTTCTCACTCATGTCTTATTGCTTTGGACCCTCTTTCTCTCCCTTGGATGAGTCCTTCCTTATTTCTCTTTCCTTTTGTCCACCTTTCTGTCTCAAAAATCCTTTGATATTCTGCAATGGAGTAGATAGCATACATTGTGCTGGGGAAGGGATGAGGTATGGAGAGGGATGGAATGAAGATCTTTTCTCTGTTCTCAAGAAACACACAGACTTCTGGGGGTGATACATATATAAGCATACTCTTATAATTCAGCATGCCTGCGTTGGGGCTTCTGGTCAGGCTGAGGTCTAGAAGATCTCTTCCAAGTCCCCTGATTTAGGGGTATAGACCAGTATAAATTCCAGCTCTGCTACTTACTAGTTGGGTGACCTGAGGTAAGTTTCTTAAACTCTTGGAGCCTTAGTTTTTCTATCCTGTAAAATGGGTATAATACTTGGTTAGTTGAAGATCATTAATAAGGATGGAATTCAAGTACACAGGAAGATGAATGAGCAGCCTACTGCAGTGGGAATACTGTAGTACTAGGAATACTATGGCAGTACTGTGGTAATGCAGATAAAATGAGGGCTTGAAGTAAGGTAGAATAATTAGTACCAAGGGAATGAAGAGGAGAGTGAAAAAATACTAAATTGATAGAATCAGGAGATCTTAGCTACCAGTTGGATGGGAGGGGGAATGGAAGAGTTCAAAGGTAAGGAGGATTTGAAGACTTCTGGCTTTGGTCTCTAGTGATGCCATTAGCTGGGAACAGAAATTCAGTGAAAATAAAATCTACTTTGGGTCTTTGTTTTGAAAGGCCTGCAAAATATTCAAGTACAGGTACCCAGAGAGTAATCTGAAACGTAAGTCTAGAGAAGTCATCAAATTTCAATGTGTATTTGTTAACACATAGCATGTGCTAGGTAATCTGTGAGACACTGAATGTAGAATGGCTATAAAAGACTTAATTATCCCTTTGCTTTCTAGTGGAGGAGAAAGATGTAAAATAAATACTTACACAGTGAAATATAGAACGAAAAATATATAGGTCATTTGAAGGAAAGTCACAAAGTGCTATGAAAATATCTAGCAGGAGAGCTAACTTAGATTGGGAGGTTTGGGGAAGTCTCTCTGAAGAGATGTAAGCTGTAACTGACGATGAATTTGACTTTGCTGGGTGTAATTAACCCCTAGACCGTAACTGCCATGATTTTTCCCCATGGTTGCAGGTGACTATAGCTCTAGTTAGCGTGTTTTAGCTGAAAGAATCAGTAAGAGGAAGGAGTGCTTCCTTTGTATTTCAGGAACATTAGCATAGACTTCATCTTACATCTAATTAATCAGAACTGACTCACGTCACTACCTCTACCTGGAAAGTGTTGAAAGGGAAGAGGCTGGAAATTCAGGTTGGGGTATTTGGCAGTGGTATCTGCTACATTAAACAAGAACAATGTCTTCAAACTTGGGAGAGAAGAAAGTTTCAAGAAGGTGAATTGGAAACAAAATCAAATGTCAGAGGTTGACAGAGATGAGCTGAGCTCTGAAACGAAACTACAGATTTGACATTTAGAAGGGCAGAGACCCTGCCCATTGTGCTCTCCACTGTACTCCAGGCACCTTCTCCAGCGCCTGGGACAGAGCAGGCAATTAATCACTGACTAGGCAAATTAATCTGGCTGCAGTGTATTAGATACATTGCATGCATAAAGGTCTGTATTGATCATCTAGTATAAATTAAATTCTTATTTTCTCGTAAGTAAATACTTGCTGAAAAGAGTGAGCATCTGGAGAGTTATCCTTCATATGTATATCAGAAACCAGTTAGGAGGAACAGACTAGAACTGAAAAAATATTTCCCCAAAGCTCCATGAAGCAAGAGAAAGGAGCAACCTAGAAGAACGTGCTTACCTCTGTAATTTTAGTAGCTGTTTTTAGTGGGTACAAGTGGTTTGTAGACAGGGAATAGCTGTTTATGTATCATTAGCGTTACCTGCTTATATGCTCTTTGCTATAGAAAGAGTCACAACAGTTTTCTATCTTATAGAGTGGTAGAAAAATTTCTATGAGAGACATTTATGTTATCAGATGTTTCAATTAGTATCTTACATTTGCATAGCACTTTAGAATTCACAAAGCACATTTAAGTATAACATCTCATTTGACTATCTCAATCATATGGGAGGTTATTAGGCCACTACCATTAGCTCCCCCCATTTTATCATTTAAAAAAATTCAGAGATCTTAAGTAATTTACTAAGTCACACACATACTAAGAGATTGAGTCAGGATTCAAACATGAATTTTAATTCCTAATCCAGTCCTATCAGCGAGTAAATAAACTTTTGAAATACTCCCTTCTCTTTGCTGAGATTGCTGAGAAAAGACAAAAGGGACCAGCCTTTCTATATGGATTCTTGTGTTAAGTGGCATTCATAGTG